AAGTCCAAAAACATTAAAAGAGAAAATTGAATTTAAAAAATTTGAAAATAGGATTTTTAAAAATAAAAAATAAAAAAATGAGTTTAAGTAAAAACATAAAAACTTGTGTGTCTACCATTTTTATGTTTTTACACGACATTTTTATCCGTTTCAACTAAGAACCATTTCTACTTATGTTTTAATACGATTTTACATTGCGTTTCTACGTTTTTACGTTTTTAGTTTAGTTTTTGACAACAATAACTACCGCCAAGCTACCATCACCACCACCACCATCACTACTACTACCTCTGTCGTTACCACCTACACCAACCACCATTGCAGCCACTGCCGACTCTATCACCAAGCAATCGCCACCACCATTGCAGCTACTGCCGACTCTATCACCAAGCAATCGCCACCACCGCCATCACCACCACGACGCCACCACTACCACATCACCAACCATCACCACCACCGCCATAATTATCACCACCATTGTCGCAATCACTGTCATCAGACTCATCACCATCACCATTGTCGCAGCCACAGCTGTTACCACCACCATCACGTTCAGTGGCGAACTCAGAAATTTTTATTTATGTCTGCATATTTATTGACGAGGATTTGAAGGCAGCGCCTCCAGAAAAGTTTTTTTTTTAATTTTTTTTAAATGTATTAAAAAATAAAAAAAATATAAACAAGAAAAGAGGAAAAAAAACTTCAGCTTAATATAAAAAAATAATAATCAAATGTCTTGTAAAGTTGATTTTTATGTTGTTATTTTTTCTATTTTCAATATTCAGAATTTTGAGATGTTATAAATAATAATTATATGCAAATTGTTAAATGGCTTACCGAATAGTTAATTTTTACAAGAAGTCCCATGCCTTGACGAATACTTTTTTCTCCAATTATCGAATAGTTAATTATTTGTTCTCCAAAATTTGTGTCTGCAATTGCAGACATGCAACACAGTGGATCCACCCATGATCACGTCATCACCGCCGCCCCTACCACTACCACACCATATGAAAATGAAAGTGATGATCTGAAAAAAATTTATGCTTAATAGAAATATTTTTTATTATATTATTTGTTGTGTTATCAAATGCAATTTTCATTCTCAGAATAAAAATTGAAAATGTTATCAAACATATTTTTTTCTTAGAAACTATTTCAAAACACAAAAATAGAAAAGAATTATTTCTTTCAGAAATAATACAAAGGAACAAAATAATTGTCATGCACATCCATAATTTTCTAGCTATAAACACAAAAATGAGAGTGAGTTCTATCACTTTCTCTCTCTTATTTCTTTATATTTTTTCTCTTTTTCATTTTTATGTACGTGGCGGTACGAAAACTATTTCTTCCACAATAGTTTAATGGGATTAGCATTTGTCATTTAATATGACACAACAAATTTTTCTACACACACAATATTTTCTGGGACCCACACTTTTTGAAGAAAAAAAAGAAATTACGATACGCAAAACGAATCTCTATATCATTACACAATCACTTTTCCTACTACATAACTCTTATAAAATCCTAGTTTAATTTCAAATTTGCTCGAACAAATCCAATTGCCGGACCCATTAATGATTCGATTTCTGGTTCAACCATTTGCAGTGACCTGTCGAGTTTAATGGTTTCCGGTATATTTTGATGACATTGATAAATATATAAAAGTCAGCATCAGTGGAATAAGATAGTAAAACAAAAATTAAGATCAAAAGTTACCTATATAGTTTGACTTTGTTTGGTTACCTTAAAAACAAAAGAGAAAATGGCTCAAAGAACTCAAGGTATTTCCATCTCGATGGCTGCCACGAACTGATAGGTTTTTGATGTGTTCATCAAAATATTGTCGGGGCTTCTAATAAAGAGAAAGTTGAAGGACAAATATGTCAAATATAATAAGTTTAAGCATGATCCTTGCCAAGAAGCATGCCACATTTTGCATCTTTGCAATGAAGAATGGCATCTGGACACTTCTTAGAGGAGTTATACCACCCGGTTTCCGTTAAATCTAATCAATTTAATAAATAACATAAATTAAAGTTTTTTTTTAAAAAATTATTATAAAAGTTAAGTTTAAGGGGGTCAACTTGTTTAATTGAATATAATATATCATAATAATTATCACTTATTGACATATTTAATTGTCTAATTTTATTAGTATATTTAAAGGTCTTATTATAATTAAGAAAAGGAAAATGTGTTATATACATATATCTTAAAAAATACATCTCTTCACGTCCATTAAAAGGGTTAATTTATATCAGAAAGTAAATAGTAAAAATATGATTGTTTATAATTAAATGATAAAATTTGTATAAAAAAAGTTTATATTTTCAACATTGATTTAAGAAAAAAGGGGACTTTTGAGATAAACAAAAAATATAAACAGTAATTACTACCGGTGCTCGTGATCTGAATTGGATTAATTTTAAAGCAAAAATTATCTTATCATATTCTTTCGGTTTGATTATTTAATCCTTCATTAAGTTTGGATTTTTTTTTTAAATTCAATACAATTCAATTTTATTCGATTTGCATTATATCGATTTTAGATTTTTTGAAAAGAAAAAAATTTCAATCATACAAATTATTAGTTATATCAAAATAAAATCATTCAAAATTATAAAACATTGAAAGATTCAACTCTTAAAACTAAAATAAGTCTTAAAACGCATGAAGAGTTGTAATAGACAATAAAAGATAAATCAAGATAGTTTGCTGGCTATCAATAACATCCAAAATTTTAAATCTATACAATAATAAGATTCCAAGTTACCATCTTTTAAAAATAATAAATACATAATACATAATACATTAGATCAGTTTGGATTAGATTTATTTTTATCAACCAAATTAAAAATCGATCTAATCTGATTAAAATATTTACTTTTTTGTTATCAATTTTTTAATTGGATCATCGCAATTTGAATTACTTGATGAAAACTCTAATAGTGTGGGTGGAACTGGAAACAATTAATTGAGACATTGGCAGAGGCTACAGATACACTTCACTATTTACTTTCTCTCTTCTTTTATTTCTCTCGTCGGATTTAGTAAAATAATATAATATCAGTATAACAAGTTAAAAAAAAAATAGCACGAAGCTGTATTTATAATGGGACGACTATAATTTATTAAAATTATATTTATAGTTTTGTTCGTTAATGTTAAATTATTTTCACAGTTAAAATTTTTTATAGTCACTTTTAACTGTAGAATATTTTATCTTTGCAATTACACATTCTGCTAATTTAAATGAATTAAACTGTTCAAATGATTTTTTAAAATTATTTTAATACATTATTAATGTTATAAAAATTTATCATGTCATTTAATCTTATATGATAAATTCGTTATTAATTGCATGATTCATTTGTAGGACGGTAGGACCCAATTCATATGTTTTCATGTCGCATCGTCCTGTCGGTGCAGATGTACAAGTTGCTAATCCGTGCCACACTCACGATAATATTAAGCTAACTACTAACGAAAGTGACAAATGGAATCGAATAGAAGTAAAGATTATATTTAAAGTTTGTTTTTAATTTTAAATACGGTGGAGTATTTTTTTTTGCCTAGCTCGTGCATGCTGTAGTTGACTTGACTGCATTAATTAAGAGTAGTTGTTGGATCACTTGACAAAAAAATTTAAATATTATAAATATATAAAAAAAAGTAATATTTTGGAATATATTTATGAATGTATAATAATTAATTGCGTCCAAATGGGCACGTTAGGGGTTGGGTTGTGCCTAAATTTAGCCGTGATTTACACGGAAATTGATGACTTTTTAACAGTTTTGTAAAATTTTATAAGTTCATAATTTTTTACTGGAGTATTCAAATTAGATATTTTTTTTATTTCACATAATTTTTTAAAATCTACGTGCTAACAAATATCTGGCGGGAATTTTGTCAAAAAAATGCTTCTTACCCTATTTGACATATTTTATTAATGAATGAACCATATAAGATTCCTCCTCATCGTTACCCTTTATAAAAAGATTTACATCCAGTGAGTGAAAGTTAAAAAATACATATTTTATTATAAACATAACTTTACAATCCTTTTATTTTATTATCTATTTTTTTCCATTGGGAAAGTCATATAATTATCACTAATCAGTTCTCAAACGTCAAATTTGAGTAGAAGTTTCGTCTACCATAAACACAGTTCTAATTTATAACGGGTGTCATAACCACAAGAGTGTTTAAACCCAAAAAAGCCCCTGAGTTCTCTTTAAACCAGTGCCATGAGCTACAACATGTGTCATCGATTTCTTAACAGTGTATAAAATTTTAGAATACAAATACCTACTTTCTGGCGAGTTAAATAAGTTTTACATAATCTTTCTTCTCCATTATTATAGCCACAATTATTTGTTAGAGTCGGAAAGTAAAAATAAGAATAGAAATTAAATAATGTTATTCACATTCAGAGAGATAAAATGTGCCAAACGGGGCACAAGAAAGTATTTTTTTGGGAAAAATTTGACAAGGGATTTGCTAACGCGTAAATCTCGGAAAGTTGTCGGGAATAAAAATCACTTGATTCAGACACCAAATTAAAAGTTATGACTTTCCCCAATTTTACGGTAAAACTGTTAAAAAATTTGAGCCACATGTCATCTCCGCTGCGTCGCGCCCAAAATGAGGTGCAACCCAGCCTCTAAAACGCTTACTTTTTGGGCGTGACTGGTTGTTATACATTCGTAAATAGGTTTCAAAATATTATTTTTTTTGTATTTTCTTATTTAATTTAACTGCGCCTATGTGTGCTCGCATGCATGGTCTGTCCCAAGCTAGGATAAAAGAGGAGGGTTGGCGTCAGATGTAGCGAACTGGCATTAAAAAGAAGCTATATTTTATGTGATGAACCCTTATGATTTTTCGTTGGGGCGTACCCTTCATAGCGACGCGTTGCATTGGGCCTCGGATGTAGCGAAAAATAGACTAGAGCCCTTGCCAGAAGGCAAGGCGTTGCATCGGGCCCTATGTGTAATGAAAAATATGCTAGGGTCTTTGCCTCAAGGCAAGGCGCCAGGTCTTCACCTAGATTTGGTGAGAAGTATGTCAAGGTCCAAACACGCAGATGGGCGAGCGTGGCAGGAAAGTACAACCCAGGGGTTAAGGATACGATTGGGAAGCTGGAACATAGGAACCTTAACGGGTAAATTGAAAGAGTTAGTAGATGTTTTTTCTAGAAAGAAAGTGAATATTGTTTTCTTGCAGGAAAGTAAGTGGGCTGGAGAAAAGGCCAAGGAAGTGGATGGAACTGGTTTCAAGGTATGGTACACAGGTATAAACAAGAGTAGAAATAGTGTTGAAATTATGATCGATAAAAGTTTCAGAGATAAAGTTGTGGACGTCAAAAGGAAAGACGACATGATTATTTTGATTAAGCTTGTAGTGGGTGATTTAATCTTGAATATCCTCGGTGTGTATGCACCCTAAGTTGGATTGCAACCAAATGATAAAAGTCAATTTTGGGAAGACTTGGAGGAGGTTTTGAGGGGAATACCACGAGAGGAGAAGATTTTCTTAGGAGGAGATCTAAATAGTCATGCTGGTAAAAGCAATGGAGGTTTTGATAGAATTCATGGAGGTTTTGGCTATGGGACGAGAAACGAGACTGGAGAAGATATCTTGAATGTTGCACTAGCCTACGATTTGATGCTAGCGAACACCTTTTTTCAAAAAAGGGAGTCACATCTAATCACATATCATAGTGGCCAAAATCATAGTCAGGTTGATTTCTTCATGGCTAGAAGAGAAGATAGAACTTCTTGTGTTGACTGTAAGGTCTACCCTGTAGAGTGTGTAGCTACGCAGCATAAGCTAGTAGTCCTGGAGGTTCGGTTCAACAAAGTACTTACAATGAAGAAGAGGACGCAGAACCCAAGGATAAGATGGTGGAAGCTTAATGAGGAAAAAGATAAAGAGTTCAATGAAAAAATGTTGCACGAAGGACCTTGGGAGTTTGAAGGAGGAGCAAATGCAATATGGAATGAGATGGCTATGTATATACAGAATATGGGAAGGAGGGTGTTAGGAGAAAGCAAAGGAAATGGATTTCATACAAAGGAAACATGGTGGTGGAATGAAGAGGTGCAAGAGGCAATTAAACATAAGAAGGAATGTGTAACATCACAGGCGCTGACGAGGGCGGGGAGTGATCGCCGGTGCAAAAGGGCATGGTACGAAAGGGCACAAACAAGGAGCGGCTCCTGGCAGGCTTCTAGGGACGGGGGTACATGGATGAATCGAATCAACACCCGAAAGAGAGGGATTCCAGAGACTGTGCTTGTATGGAATAGTACAGTTGGGAATAGCTTATAAGAATTAATTGGTACTACCTATACTAACAAGATGCATCTTCTTTTCGGTAGCCCGAAACGGAAGAACTCTATAGTTAAGCGTGCTTGACTTGGAGCAATTCTGGGATGGGTGACCTCCTGGGAAGCTTTCCCAGGAAGTGTGTGAGTGAGGAAAAAGCACACTGAAAAATCTCATGTTAGTATGTGGGAATAGTCATTGATTCTTGAAGCGGCCGGGCGTTATAGAATGCTTTAGATCTTTGCATAAAAGTCCCAGTGAAGAGAACTTGCAAAAGTTTAGATTGGCGAGAAAAAAATGCAAAGAAAATAGTGCGAGAAGCTAGAGACAAGGTTTTCGCCGATTTGTATAAAAAATTTAGGAGCAAGGATGGTGAAAAAGGTATATATAAACTTGCAAAAATAAGGGATAAGAAAAGTAAAGACCTCACCCAGGTTAGATGCATCAAGGATGAAAATCAAAAACTTTTGGTGAGAGATAAAGATGTAAATGAAAGATGGATGAACTACTTCAACAAGTTGTTTAATGGGGATGGCGATATAATTGAGGTGGGCTTGGAGGATGATTTGAATAGAAGATTTGTGCACAGAATTAATACACATGAAGTTAAGGAGACTTTAAAGAGGATGAAGACTAATAAAGCCTTGGGACCTAATGGTGTCTCTATTGAAGTGTGGAGAGGCCTGGGGATATGGCAATAAAATGATTGACCAATCTTTTCAATAAGATTCTTCAGATAAATAAGATTCCTGATGCATAGAGGAAAAGTATGATTGTTCCTATTTACAAAAACAAGGGAGATATACGGAGATATACAGAATTATTCTAACTATAGAGGCATTAAGCTAATGAGCCATACTATGAAGTTGTGGAGAGGGTTATTGAACATCGCTTGAGAAGAGATACCAAGATTTCTGTAAATCAATTTGGATTTATGCCAGGACGATGTACCATGGAAGCCATTTTCTTGATGCGGCAATTAATGGAAAGATATCGAGAAAAGAAGAAGGACTTACATATGGTGTTCATAGATCTTGAGAAAGCATACGATAGGGTTCCAAGGAAAGTTTTATGGTGGGTTCTTGAGAAGAAAAAAGTACCATCAAAGTATCTAAAGGCAATCAATGATATATATGATGGGGCTACTATATGTGTGAAAGCTTGTAACAGAACATCAAGTTATTTTCCTATCACAGTAGGTGTACACCAAGGTTCAGCTCTAAGTCCTTACCTCTTTGCCTTAGTTATGGATGAACTAACAAAAGATATTTAAGAGGAAGTGCCATGGTGTATGCTTTTTGCAAATGATATTGTGCTTATTGATGAGAACAAAGACGGTGTTAATAGAAAACTTGAATTGTGGAGAAGCACGTTGGAATCTAAAGGATTCACATTAAGTCGGAGCAAGACTGAGTATTTGAAGTGTGAGTTCTCTCTGGTAAGAGATGTAGACCAAGATCCCATGCATCTAAGTGGTCAAGAGGTACCCAAGAAAGATGCTTTTAGATACCTGGAATCCATTTTGCAAAAAAGGTGGAGAGATTGATGATGATGTAAATCATAGAATCAGAGCGGGTGGATGAAATGGCGTAGTGCATCTGAATTTTTGTGTGATCGCAAAATCCGCCTTAAGTTAAAAGGAAAATTCTATTGAACGGCAGTAAAACCTGCAATGCTATATGGAGCTGAATGTTGGCCAACACATAGGCAACATGAGCATAAAATGAGAGTAGCAGAGATGAGGATGTTAAGGTGGATGTGTGGTTATATGAGGATGGGTAAGATAAGAAATGAAGATATTCAATGAAAAGGTAGGAGTACTACCAGTGGCTGAAAAGATGAGAGAACAAAGATTGAGGTGGTTTGGGCACGTAATGAGAAGGCCCATGGATGCTCCCGTAAGAACAAAAGTTTGTTATCAAGAGCTCAACACACAAAAAGGTAGAGGTAGACCGAAACTTACTTGGGGGAATGTAGTAAAACAAGATTTAACGGAGTGAGATATAGATTGGCGGACAGTAATGCCTTAAAACGGAATGGAGAAAAGCTATAAGCATGGTGGAGGATTAGACCCGTTGTTATTCCTATGTTCCATATGGTCCATTTTTAGTCCGTTTCCTCTTCATTTTCCCTTCTTCTTCTTTTCCCCTTCTTTTATACATACATATATATATATATATATATATATATATATATATATATATATATATATATATATTACTATTTTATTTATTTATTTTTCTTTTTCTTTTTTCAACCTTTTCGTATCTTTTATTTGAGTTCATCTATCACCGACTCCAATTAATTTGGGATAAATGTGTTGTTGTTGTTGATGTTGATTTTCTTATTTAATTTATAATATTTAAATTTTTTAGCCTCGTTTTGGTTGGTGACTTTCATTTTCTATTGTTTTAACATCTGCCCTTTTTTATTTGGGCCCCTTTGATCTTGACATTCGCTCACAAAATTATCTCCACACAAAGCTTCTATATATTTAGGAATATTGGCATTGAAACTTATAATACCCATTTACTTTGTTGCTATAGTGCTGGTTCAAGACGAGCAAATCCTTCTCCATGGCTTCAATTACGAAAAGGTAGGTTCGGACTTTGATTTCTTTCATCCATATGTATGAATCAAATTTGAAAATTTTAATTAACAAGAAATGTGTCATATATATCTTGCAGGCTAGAAGGTAAAGTGGCAATAATCACAGGAGGTGCTAGCGGCATTGGAGCCGCTACTGCTAAACTATTTGTTCAACACGGTGCTAATGTAATTATTGCTGACGTTCAAGACCAGTTAGGCATGTCCCTTTGCAAAAGTCTTGGCACAAATGCCACCATTCTCTACGTTCATTGCGATGTAACTTGTGATTCAGATGTCGAAAACGTGGTTGATATGGCAGTGTCCAAGTACGGTAAGCTTGATATAATGTACAACAACGCTGGCATAACCGGCGACTCGAATCACTTACCAATATTGGCTTCTACTAATGAAGACTTCAAAAGGGTTTTCGAAGTTAACGTTTATGGAGCTTTCTTGGGTGCCAAATATGCTGCTAGGTTCATGATCCCAGCAAAGAGTGGGGTCATTCTTTTTACTTCAAGTGTTGCTTCAGTAATTGGTGGCGAGACAACACATGCTTATTCTATGTCAAAGCACGCAGTAGTGGGGCTTATGAAGAATTTGTGCGTAGAACTTGGGCAGTATGGGATTAGAGTCAATAGCATCTCCCCTGGAGGCATTGCTACCCCAATGCTATACAATGCACTGAAGATGAACAAGAATGAGGCAGAGGAATTTCTATACTCAGCTTCAGTGTTAAAAGAGGCAATTCTTGAGGTTGAGGACATAGCTGAGGCAGCACTTTATTTGAGCAGTGATGAGTCAAAGTTCGTGAGTGGAGTCAACCTTGTATTGGACGGGGGTTATAGCACGACTAATGGGTCATTCACTTCTGCACTGAGAGGTCTAATGAACCAAACTACCAACCACATACAGTAACCCAGTTCTATACACATACATAATAAGCCTATCTCTTCGATCTTTATATTTTGTGGGTGTCCTATTAGTCCGCTGCGTGAAACAATTTAGTTTTAATTGGTGCTTTTACTTGGTTAAAATGTGTGGCGTATTACCTTCCTATAACAAAAAAATGTTGTTTATCTTCTATCTATTATTATATAATATCAAAGACTAATCTAAACTATGCTCTTCCTTTAAATATTATTATAACTAATTTTAGCAGCTCGGTATTTATTTTATTTCTATACTCCCCTGTTGTTTGTATGTAGGAAATTAAGAATAAAGTTTTGGTGCGATATAATAAAATTCTAAACAAGGGAGATGTTCTACTAGCTTGAGCGAGATGACCCAATGTTCTCCGAGGGATTAGTACACAATTTTCTGCAATTATCTTGACAGAACATTCATTTGTACGGTGATCATTCATTTTTTTCTGCCCCGTTATAAAGAAGGAAAAGGAAATAGTAGGCTAATTAATAACGTGCAGGCCCAACTAAAGTTCTTGGTTGAAATTGAATCTAGGAATTAAATAACATTTAAAAAAGTTTGGAACCACTTGAACTATATTCCTGAAAACGGCACTCTCAAAAGATTAAGAAAGCTTATTAGTGATGCAACCGGTTGGTCAGGTACTGCTACTTTCGGTGGCTTTTGTTTGCATATGAATCAAAATCCATACCTCTATTGTTCTAGTGGCATTTTGGTGGACGGTGGCAAAAAAATAAAAAAACAATAGCAACAATGTTATTCAAACTGGGAAGAAGAAAAATGCGTTTACGCGTTAAATCTTCAGCCTATAAATAGAATTCATTATCAACAGTTTTTTGCATCCCAAAAATTTCACAATATAGACAGAAAACTCAAGTTTTCCTTGAGTATTATTTTGAATGAAGAGTATTCTCTTAATATAAGAAAGAGAGTAATATTGATTTCTCTTTATATTTAAAGAGATTATAATTTCTTTCACTTAATGAAAATCTTTTTTTGATATTATCTGTGATTTTTTCCAATTTGAATTTTTCATGTAAATTTTTTGTATCACTTCATTGGTTTTTGTCAATCTCTTAACTGGTGAAATTAAAATAAAATTAATTATGCCATTTGTATTTTAAAAAGATAATTATTTAATTATTATTGAATAACACGAAAAGACTCACTGAAATTACGTGTACCTAACTCATTGATATATATGGTTAATAATATTTTAAAATTTGTATTTCCTCTCCACTCTATTTTACCAAGGCAATACTTTATTGGGTTTATCATCTATCATTTAACATGACCACAAAAATTTTCCTACACACACAACATTTTGTGGGGCCCGCAGCAAAAAAAAAAAAAAAACTTCGGCACGCAAAACGAATCTCTATAACATAACACAATCACTTTTCCTACAACATAACTCTTATAAAACCCTACTTTTTATTACATAACAATTAGTCACAAGATTGCTCTACCTAATTACAGCTGTATACATTTTGAGATTTTAAATCTGTACAATTTGTCCATCAGCGGTCAATCAACATTTAACAAAAGCACTATTCTTGACCATCATGATTACAAATCCACTATTTACCTTAAAATATATATTTTTTTTTTATAGACACCTTAAAATTTATTATGCGTCTTTATCTATCTAACAAATTTTTTCATGTTTTTCAAAATAACAAAAGAGAATATAATTGATGATGATGCACAATTATATTTTTGTGATATTTTTAACCACAGAAGAGGATTTAAATGTGTGTTTAATATATCAAATAATGGTAGTTCCATTAATATTAGAGAACTGAGCAAGTGAAATAAGAGTATCTATTCAATTCTCTTCCGTATTATTTTTAAGATATGTTTAAAGTCTTAATCTCGAGATCCACCACAATTCAACTAATCACGAAGTGATGAACTGATTGGAATATCTCAAAAAAAAAAAAATTGTGTGTCTAATATTTATAAATTTAATTATTTGATGTTGGTGCACAATTATCCCAAAGAGTTCATAGATTAAATAAGAAAACAATTCTTTTAATGTAAATTATTCTTAAAATGAATAAGTAAGGATGTGTTTATTTTTTAATTTTAATGACTTAAAATCACGATGCACTTTAAATTAAATTAAAAATAAATATAATCTTACTTACTCATTTCAAATACTAATTTTTTTTAAAGAAAAATATTGTCCTACATATAAATATGGAAAAATATTTTCTCATGTTGCAGGAGAATTCAATTCTTATGTGGGTGACCCTTCGATTTACGTGCAAAACTTTTTTTTTTAATAAATGTGGGACCCACCACTAGTTGAGTCACAACATGAGAATTGAATTCTCATGCAACATGAGAAAATCAAACCCCTATAAATATTCACGAAGACAAAAATGTCATCTATAATATAACAAATCTGTTCATCAAAACATTGCACCATGTTGTTGAGATATTCAAGTGTGATGAGTCTCACATTGGTTGGTAATGAGCTAAGTGAAGAGTATACAAGTGAAAGGACCCATGAACTCAATGCCTTAAGGTTTTGGGTTGAGACATGGTGTCGGATCCACTTGCTACAGTTGATTTAGTCTTAGCTCATTGGTGGTGACCCCCCGCCACGAGCTTCCCCTGGACCCGCTTGACATTGGAGTTTGAGGGAACGAATTTCCCAACAGTGGTATCAGAGCCGGGCTCGAGCTAGCCTAGTGATTGGCTAAGAGACGGGTCGAGTACTTTGCGCTTCGGGTACTCGGTTGAGGGGGAGCATACCAGTGGTGGATTTCACACTTGAGGGGAAGATTGTTGAGATATTCAAGTGTGATGAGTCTCACATTGGTTGGTAATGAGCTAAGTGAAGAGTATATAAGTGAAAGGACCCATGAACCCAATGCCTTAAGGTTTTGGGTTGAGACATGGTGTCGGATCCACTTGCTACGATTGATGTAGTCTTAGCTCATTGGTGATGACCTCCCGCCACGAGCTTCTCCTAGACCCGCTTGAAAATTGTCTTAAACAAACCATAACCCAACAAGAAATTTGCTCATTCTTTATTAATGACGGTTAAAAGTTATCTGTGACCTGAGAAAGTCATCACTAATAATAATTATTGACGGAAGACGGTCGTTTTTAAGCACTTCTCCATAAAATTAAGTGGAGAATGGCGGTGATTAACAAAAGCCATCATTAATAAAAAAATCTGCTAATACACAAACTTAAAAGTTTAGATAGTAAATGTAAGGATTAATGTTCAATGTTTTATAGAAAATAATTTTATCTTTTATACATATACAAAAATATATGTGGTCTATATTTTTTTCTCTCTTCTTCTCATATTGCCTCAGATAGATTCCATATATTTTTATTCATTTTATCTTATATAATATGATAAATATTAACTCCTAATAGGGACTTTACCATCAATAATTCATTACCTAAAAAAAAAGTATAAATCCTAACCCTCCTCTTGAAGAGCATATTTTTTGTATTATAGAAATAGGTACTCTTTTATTAAAAATTTGATAAAAGGGATTTAGGTGACAATAACTATAAAAGGATGGGTAAAATGGGTAAAGTTAATTATATTATTTCTTTGAAATAGGATATTATATATATTTTTTATGCATACTCTACCTACTAATCTCAAAAATAATTAAATCAGAATCTCAATTAATTTTTACTATTTCTCTCTCCTCTTGAAATGTTAATCTAACGCGTTAAGAAAAAGTAGGTAAAATAAGTTAATTTAGTAAAAGATGTATTTGATTTTGAATATTACAGGAGTCATGAAGATACTTTCCTTTATCAGACTACTCGAGGAAAATTCAAGCACACCACACACTGTGCTGAGATACACAAATCAATTCATTAATCTTAGTCAAGTGTTTCATGACTAATTATTATCTTGTTACAAATTTTGATGCCAGATTCGCCCTTTGTTTGAGGTACACGGGAATGTGATTGAGGTTGCCCTGATCAAAGATATAAAGACAGGATAGCATTAATGAAGGGCTTAAGCCCATTAGCGCCACAGGAGGAAGGCCCAAACGCAAGAACAGAACTCCCTCACATCTGAAGGATAATCACATGGGCCCAGTATAGGGATTAACTGTTTATGTTAGGAGTATTTCCAAATGTCAGTTTTGAAGTTTTTGCTTATCCGTCGTTTGATGTATTCTCAATCATGGTTGTTGCATTAAGTGGTCCGGTGAATGAAAAAGCAAGAAGAAATCATCCAAAGCTCTCTTCGTCTCTCTCATTTCCTTCTCTCAACCTTACTCTCGCCCTCTTCTCAACCCTCACTTCTGAAAATCTCACTACATTCAACATGGCTCTCTCTCTTTTAGTGTATTCTTGACCTCTCATCTAATTTTGTCAACCTTTTCAAATTCAAAATCAGGTAATATTTCAGTGTACGGTAGAATCAAAGTCCGTCTGAGATTCAATGGAGATTATTTTATAAATTATTCTATTTTTAAAAAAATATATACCACGGAACTCTATATATATATATATATATCTTCTTATATGCAGGACACTTAAGTATAATAAAAGTAAAATATATATAGTCCGAATAAATTGTTACTTGGATAATCCATGAGATGGTTTTCTGTCTTTCTCATCCTCTCATTTTTTTCTAAAAGATAAATAAGATAAATAATGATTTTATCTTCATTCGTGTTGACTCGGGAAACTTGCCGACAAAGTCCGGGACCATGATAACATCTCCTTATTGTAAAAGATTATATTGTATGAACGCAAATGTAATTGCCTTTTTATCCGGTAAGGCTTATCGGAAGCAAGATGCAAGGGTGCTCCTCCTCGGTCCTTCCAATCGCCAAGAGGTAATCAAATCATAAATCAAATTATGTACATATATATGATACTCCTGCTAACTTAGAATATATATATATATATATATATATATATATAAAAGGATATAACTAATAATTAAAAAAAGTCGAGATTATGAATAAGACTTTTTAATTATACATACATAATCATTTTAACAATTGATTGATTTGATTCCACTTATATGTATTCAAGAACTTTGATTTTCTCCTTGGATGAGTAATCCAATACAAATGAATCAAAGTGTAAAATTTCTTATTCTTATACCTGCTTAACAATAACCATATATACATCACCGAGCACTTGCAGGTTACAAGGCAAGGTAGCACTAATAACCGGGGGAGCAAGAGGCATCGGCGAAGCCACCGCAAGACTTTTCCTTCGCCACGGAGCCAAGGTCATCATCGCTGACGTCCAAGACGATCTCGGACGTTCCCTTTGCAACGCCGTCCAAAACCCCAATATTTCCTATGTTCACTGCGATGTCAGTAACGATTCCAACGTTCAAACCGCCGTCAATGTAGCGGTCTCGCAGCATGGAAAACTTGACATCTTGTTCAGCAATGCCGGCATCGTTGGCAATTTGAACCCTTCAATCCTGTCCCTTAATCTTGAAGACTTGAAGAGGGTTTTCGAGGTCAACGTCTACGGTGCTTTCTCTGCTGCCAAACACGCCGCTAAGGTAATGATTCCTGAAAAGAAAGGGAGCATCATCTTCACCTCTAGCGTATCTTCGGTGATTCATGTGGTTACACCGCTTGATTACGCTGCAACGAAGCACGCAGTGGTGGGTTTGACGAAGAACTTGTGCGTGGAACTGGGTAAACATGGAATCAAAGTTAATTGTATTTCACCGTATGCGGTGGCGACCACTCTTCTAATGGGTGGAATGGGGATGGACAAAGAAAGTGCAGAGAAAGTGTATTCAGAGGCGGCGAACTTGAAGGGAATGGTTATGAAGGAGGAGGATGTGGCAGAAGCAGCTTTGTTTCTGGCCAGCGATGAGTCCAAGTACGTGAGCGGATTGAACCTAGTTGTGGATGGAGGTTACAGTGCAACCAATGTTTCTGTTGAAGAAGCTATGAGAAAGTTTTCTGCTAAGACCAAATTGTAAGCTTCAATTTCTGGGTTACTTGGAGTCAAAAGCTGCTCTCTTTTTAATGTTGACTAAATAAAGTCATTCCAGACTTTGGATGAACCTATGAATTAAATTCATTTCCATGGTGGAAAGCTTGGGTGCATGTATTATTGCCAATTAATAAGTGATGGTATCAGTATCAGCTACTTATTGTATTTATAAAAGATATTTACATCTCTCTCCCTCTCCATTTTTAAGAATTTACCCTCTCCCTTTTTAAGAATTTAATTTAGTCAAATCAATTTTTTATTTATCCACTTATTTGACTATCGGATTAGTTTGGTTCGAATTTGAGAGAACGAAAGATGGTTCATGTACACTTACCAAATAAAAAAAGATGGTTCATGTATACCATTTTTATCATTTAGTTATAACACAAACTAATTGGGATAAAATATTATGTACACTTACCAAATAAAATATTTGGTTTAGCTTATGCATACTTAATTCTATCACAAAAAGAGGGTCGATAAGGATCCAACTCTGATACCATATAAAAAGTCAATTCAAGCCATTGGATGAATTTTTTTTAATGATTTATATTATTCTCTAACAATACCCATAATAACACAAACTAATATTTTAGCCCAATTAGTTTGTACATTGGAACATTAGGTAGACCAAAAAATTGTGCATGTGCAATATCCACGCTTTAAGTCTAAAGGTCTCTTGCATGAAGGGATATGTTATAGAAATATAAAATCACAAATGTAGTCTCACTCAATACCTTAAAGTTTTGGGTTGAAATAATTCTTTATACCTATCTTTTTTTCTTGTTTATTTTACGTATTCCTTTTCCAACATAGTTAGATTAGAATCTCAATTAACTTTTATTTTTTCTTTCTTCTCTTAAGATTCTGATCTAATAGTATTAAAAATGAGTAGCTAGGATAGACATAATATTCTATTCCAAATTAATTTATCTTGTTTTTATAAGATATTTGTTAGAGAGATATAATAAAAAATTATTAAAGGCCCATGATTTATCGATTTAAATTTTTTGGTTGAATTAATTTTTGTTTACCATGTTTATATTTTAATTTTAATCCCTCACTCACAAATGTGTTTAAAAAAAAAACCAAAAAGGTGCTTCTCACCTACACAAATAACATCGAAAAAGCTGACGGGTTTAGAATCTTAGCTAAAACCACAATCACTACTAGAAAAAACCTATATAGCGACGGAATTGCTATGGAAATTCCGTCGCTAATTTCATCCTCGCTAATACTTTCCTTCACAAACGATTTTGCAAGGGAATTTGCGAGGGAAAACAATAGCGAGGATGAAATTAGCGAGGGAATTTCCATAGCAATTCCCTCGCTATACAGGTTTTTTCTAGTAGTGAATGTTCCCTATACACGTGCTCCATTTCACTGGATTGATGCTATGTATATATCAAGAAGTTTTTCAATGCTTTTGTTTTAGGGTTTGTTTTTTCTGATGTTAGTTTAGATAACTTTATCTAATGTTCATCAAAACGACGTCGTTTTGAGACGGAAATCATGTTATTTTTGTAATTTTAATTTATTTCAGGGTTATAATAGTCTTTATCACTCTAATTTTTTAATTTTTCAACCCCAAAATGACGTCGTTTCGATGAACATTAGATAAAGTTATCTAAAGTAACATCGGAAACTTTTTTCCCTTTGTTTTATTATATCAATCATTTGAGTCAAATTCAAAGTATCGACTAGTTTATGTGGAGAAGAATTTTGGTGGTCATGGGTCACCATTAATTTAGTGGCCCAAACCAATTAAAATGAGATAATTATTGAAGAGAGAGGAGAAATAAAAAATAAAATTTTATACAAGTGTCACTTACTGAATAGAAGGACCACATAGAACCTGGAGGCTGGAGCACCAAATTTTTTTCCGTTTATGTGACCATGATGGATGATACTCATTGTTAGTAATTGATAGAATTGCATATATTCAAATAAATCTCAATATATGATTGACATAACAAAAGCATGTATTTAATCCTTTCTAATATCATCTTTAAGAAAGGTTTAAAGTCTTAATCCTGATACCTGTCCCGAATCAGACTAGTCAAAGCGATGAACTGGCTGAAATATCTCCAAAAAAAAATTGTATACAAGGATTGCCCTCGTCCCAATTTCGCTAGTCAGAGTTTAATGAGAGAGTATTTTTAATGATTTATATTATTCTCTAACACACTCTCTCACACAAGAGGGGCTTTGGTTTGGAAGGGTGGATATTACACAGGCTCAATTTATGATTTACATTGTGTGTTTTTTCGTGACACACTGAAGCTCTGATACCATGTATAGAACCACTTCAACTCAAAATCTTAAGGTGTTAGGTGAGTGCCTTTTTAATGGTTTATATTATTCTCTAACACATCCCCTCACGCAATAAATTGGGCCTGTGTAATATTCACGTTTCAAGACCAAAGCCCTCTTGAGTGAGATGTGTGTTAGCGAATAATATAAATCATTGAAAAAACATTCACCCAATGCCTTAAGGGTTTAAGTTGAAGTGGTTCTTTACATGGTATCAGAGCCTCAGTGACCATAAGATCACAAATTCGATCCTCATGCCCCCACTTGTGGAATTAAATAAGTACAAGGTAAACAAAAAATTGGGCCTGTGCAATATCCACGCTTCAAGTCCAATGGGCTCTTGTCAATGGTGTGTGTTAAAAAATAATATAAACTATTAAAAAGATCTTCACTCAACACTTTAAAATTTTGGGTTGAAGTGGTTCTTTATACGGTAAAAGTCATTAATTTAATTTTGATCTAACCATAATAAACTGGTTGCAAGGAAAAAAAAGTTATATATATAACCTATCTTTATTTATAAATAAAAAACAATATCATGTGTAATATATTTTTAAAATGACCAAATGTTCTCCTGGGCAATAATAAAAGAGATGTACAAAAAAGAACGAAATTCGATCAATTCTCAATTTAATGTTCATATTTATCATGTCTATAACTTTTTTTGCTAAAAAAATATTATTTATTGGACTAGTTTATTCCATGTCAATTCTCCCTTCATGTTGTAAAACATACAAAAATAAGTAAAGCTATTCGATAGACAAAAAAAATATTGACAGATTTTTAGATACTTTCATTTTTTTTTTCAGTATAATCTGGAGGGTATCCCTATTCAATCTCTTCGGTCGCCTTGTCCTCAGAGTACTGCTAGAAGGCTACTCTCTCATTAGAACCAGTGTTTAAAAACCCGGCCCAGCCATCGACCCGGTCAAGGTAAGGGGTCATGGGGTCACGGGTTCAACCGAGGGGTCACGGGGTCACTACGCTGACCCGGTTTTATATATTAAAAAAATATAAATATATATATCCTATATGAAAATATTAAAAAATAAACCACCAATCATCAAATATTCAAAATATAATTAAAATAATTCACCGATTACAACCACAAGTTAATGGGATCACTACGCTGATCTGGTTTTGCCTCTTTTGAGAAGGTCTCTAACAAAGGAAAATTTAAAGGAAGTAAGAATGAATTTTTGTTTTTCATCGACGACCATAAAGATTTCATTTGAATGGGTAAATTTGTATCTTTTCTAGAAGATTTATGGCAGCGAGGTGAAGATTGAAGAAGTCTAAGTCGCTGGGACTGGGAGAGAATAGAACGATAAGATTTAGGTTTGCAAGGATTTTTATTTTATTTTTTTAATAAAACAATGTCATTTCATGGAATTTTTTTTTTAAAAAAATATATATATGCAATGACCCCCTTCGACCCGTCTGACCTAGGAGTCACTGAAACCCGGCTGGGTTTTGGGGGTCAGAGGGGTCGATGTGCATATAGGGTCCAACTTGTGACCCCAACCCTCAAAGGGGAGGGGTCAGGGTTGACCCGGGTCAACCCGAGGGGTGGGGTGGGGTTTTAAAACACTGATTAGAACAGCGGGTGCATTGATTTTCGCTAGCGAAAAAAATATGAGACTAATCTCACTTTCGTTCTTTCACTGATGTCCATAACTGATAAATATTTAATAATATACAGAAAAATTTTCTTGAATATTTTTTGTCTAAATTTTTCGCATGATTTACATAAGGAAGTAGTCCTGTTGGAAACATTGAAATTTAAATAAGAGTGCGATGTCAAACATTGGTTAAAAATTGCTCAAGTGACAATTATATAAGTGGAGAAAACTTATACGCTGATTGTATTATGGATTCGTCATATGGGCTCATATCTAATAGCTCCCAACACATAATCACTTAAGAGAGATAAAAAAACAATCCTATCAGATAAGATATCAATCTTATCATATTACTAGTGGTTCAAATATTGGGCCCTCAATATTTTCAAGAGGCCCAAAATGTTACTTATATTACATAACTCATCTATAAATAAGAGATTCAGCCAACCCAGTACACTCCATATTCTCTTAGTTGTCATTGTGCACACATCTCACATTTTCAACTATACGTCATTATTATTGTGCACATCTTCGACTATACCCCATTATTATTGTACACAATGATCTGCTACCCTTGCGACGTTTCTTCCATGGACTCACGCAACAGTATTAAACCAAGATATAATTACCAACCACTGGTTGGACATTATGATCCTCTCGGATCGAACATTGGCGCCATCTATGAGGATCGATAAACTTCGATTCTCACCTAATAGTGGTGAATGCACAACAGTCATCGCCATAACCAAATCCTAATACGATGGATGCAGAGCACAAGAAGGCTACCTCATCAATATTGTCGTAGCAGGTAAGTATCCAATCCACCAACACGGAAATCGAGTAAGGCACAATATCATCCCATGAATGCGAGTCCCGCCTCACGAACGGTCCTTTTGTATACTGCTTCAATGCACTGACCAACAAAACAGGGCCAAAGCAAACAAAGAGCATAAGATGCGCATATTGCATCTAGAGGTGGCAAAGCCGGCGCCCCACCTCGCAATCAATTCGCCAAAAAAATGAGCTAGTCTGCCCCGCTTTTAAGAGTGGGGTGAAAAAACTCGGTCTGTTCTGCCCAGTTTGGCGGGCAGGGCGGGTTAGCTCGCCAGCCTGAACATATTTTATATTAAAAAAATCTAAAAAAAAACTCAGCCTGGCGAATTGGCGGGTTAGGCGGGTTATAAAACTCAGCTCACCGGGCCGAACCTGTTTTGTTGGCCCAATTGCAGAGTAGGTTATAATATCACCTCACTTCCTAAATGTGGTTAGAATTAAGGGGTGAAAAATATATATAAAATG